GGAAGGGAAGGGAAGGGAAGGGAAGGGAAGAAAACTTTCTCACGGGAGAAGTAAGAGAGCTGAGATAAAATAATATATCAAAGGATGCCAACCTCTCAGAAGTTCAACCCAGGGAAAGAAGATGGAAGCAGGGCACATGTTACTGATAAAGACCAAAGGTTAATGTTAATTTTTGTATTGAAAGACAAAAGGAGATAAAAGGACCTGGTTAATTTCATGAAAAATAAAATCCAGTTATTTTTAAACAAGTTTTAGATAGGTTTCTAGGGAGTGTTTATTTCTAATATTAATGGAAATTTTAAACAGAGCAGTATTTGCATGAAAGCACATCAAATATATATATACATATATATACAAAAATATATATATAAATATAAGTAGTGTATCATTTTCTAAGATGCAAGTTGTTTTTTTAAAGTAATGAAAATCATGTTTCTATAGCTTAATAGTTCCTTGCCTCCCTTAATTCTAAAGGTACTTGACTCCATCCCAGAAACCCAAAGTCACACAGAAAGGACTTGCAGCTTCTGTGTGTCCAGCTCTGTCACTCAGCTTTTCCCTCTCACACTCCCTGCTGAATTTGGCACGCGGTCATTCTTGCAAAAAAGAGGAAAAAAAAAANCACTGAGTTAGAATTACTGTGGCTTGTGCTTTGTGGTTATTTGTTAAAAGGCAAATATGGTAGTAATGCCGTGGGCTAAAAAAGTCATACTTGATATTCATCTTTATTAANTTGATATTCATGCTTATTAATCAGTGTAACTTAACCATATTTTTAAAAATACATTTTTATTGATTTTAGAGAGACAGGAAGGGAGAGGGAGAGAGAAACATCGATGAGAAAGAAATATCAGCATTGATCGGCTGCCTCCTGCACGCCTCCTGCTGGGGATTGAGCCCAAAACCCAGGCAGGTGCTCTGACCAGGAATGGAACCGGTGACTTTCTGGTGCATGGGTTGATGCGCAACCACTGAGTCACACTGGCTGGACTCAGCCATATTTTTTAACTCACTGTAATATGCAGTAAGTTAAAGAATATGGAACTAAAAATACCATTTGGGGAGAAGTAAATGATGATTCAGCTTCTCAATTGATGTAAGGGCTGAAATGAACTTTATAAGGTAAATGGCCAAACTGCCAGCCTCACACATTGTCGATAGGGACATATACTGATAATCCCCTTTGGGAACAATATTGCAGTGTGTGGGGAGCCGCTGTGGCCCCAGGCACAGTGCCTGGGAGAGCTGCAGATGTGCTCCCCTGCTCCCAGGGAGATGTGGGTGAGCTGCTGTGGCCCCAGGCATGGAGGAGCTGCCTGGGTGAGCTGCAGATGTGCTCCCCTGCTCCCTGACCCAGACCTTGAGGTACCAAAGCAATACTAATTTAGCTTGCGGCCATAAATTATAGAAAGGCTAATTAGGAAGCTGGCCCCTGCCTGAAGGGTTAAGGGATAGTTAAGCCACATACCAAGCCAAGGACTCAATCCCCCCAAAAGTTCCCGTTAGAAGCCGAGATAAAGATAGTTACCAAGGCCTGAGCTCCTGCAGGAGGCAGGGTGTTTGCTCTGAAAAAGCATTCGTAGGGCCTTGAAGGAATTACTTTGTATCGGGCAAGGGGAAGGAATGCAGGGCGGGGTGCTATTCAGCAAAAACAACAGTGCCTGTATATATTGAGCTGAGAAAATAAACTCGGGGCAGGGGCAGTGGCAGTTAGGAGCTGCA